TCTTATTCTTTTTTAATTTAGTTTTTGAGACAATAAAAGAATTCTTAGTATTCTTTTTGCAACATTGTGAAATGCTTACATAAACATTGTGAAATGCTTTTATAAACATTTAGCGAATATACGGTAAGACATGCAATTGGAAAAAATAACTTAGCTTGACCATGCCGCTCGCACGTGTGGTAGTCCAGTAAATTTCGTGGAAGTGTCGTCTCTCTCACACCTTTTAACCAGGTCCAACACTTGAGGATTTAATCAATGGGGGAGGTACCACACACAATTTGCACTTTTTTTGCACTTGGGACAGTTATCACGTTTAGAATCGATTGATTTTTTATTATTTTACGGCGTTAACCAGTTATCACGTTACTACATTTGTATCGTATACGCTGCTTAAGAGAGATCGATGAGCATATGCTTACACTTCAAGCGTCAAGAGCAGAATGTTATTTATAACTTAATAGGTATGTTATAAAATTTATATTATATTATATTATATATATATTTAATATAATATTATTTTATGTTTATTAGGGTTATTCGTTTTGTCACTTTCCAAGCAAAATATTTATGTACATATCGGGTAAAAAATGCCCTTAATCTCACTTCCAAGTACTTTTTTTTTATTTTAAACTTTTCCCATTAAAGTAACATATGTAGGAAATTAAAGATATTTTTTTAAATTTTCCATAGCCTGGCGGTATTTTACGCAACTGCAATTTACATAGGTTGGATTTGTACATAATTATAATTCTATAGATGCTCTTCAAAAGTACTTGCAAGAATTTGTATACAACCTTTTACGCCAAAACGGTTAAAGAGTCAATCTATTTGAAAACGCCGAAACTCGTTGCTCGATCATCTTTGAGTTTGCTCAAATTTTATAGAAATATTTATTAGAGTCCCAAAGGACAAAATCCATGTAAAAGAAATATGGATGAAGATAAATATCCTGTTAATGTCGTATTTCTATATTAAAGTCAACATACTTATATAATGGATGAAATAATGCGACTTTTTATTATTTTAATATTTTTCTCCTTTTAAAGCTTACTAAGCTGGCGTGGTGGATTTTGGCACACCCATATCTCAGTTATTAGACATGGGACCCACATCAAATTTATATGAGTTTATAATGACATTATATAGACAAGTTCTGCGCAAGCAGAAATTAAATTAAAGTTTGCGAAAAAAAAGTTAGTTTTTAAGTGCAACCCCCAGCCTCCTGCCCCTCCAAATTAAGATAATTCAAATTAAAGTGGTAAAATATTTAATTCACTGAAGTTTATCGACAAATTTCAAATTTTATTAAAAAAATTCAAGTATTACAGATTTTATACCATTTCAAATTTTTTTAAATTTAGTAAAAGAAATAATAAAAATTATAAATGGTATAAAACCTGTAATTCTTGAATTTTTTTAATAAAATTTGAAATTTGTCGATAAACTTCAGTAAATTAAATATTGTACCACTTTAATTTGAATTATCTTAATTTGGAGGAGCAGGAGGCTGGGGGTTGCACCTTAAAAACTAACTTTTTTTCGCAAACTTTAATTTAAATTCTGCTTGCGCAGAACTTGTCTATATAATCAGGCCAATTCACTAACATAAGTTGTTAACGTTAGCCACTAGAATCAGTGGTTATCGTTATATTTAAACGGCCCGATTGGCCGGATTGCCCGATAACCACTGATTCTAGTGGTTAACGTTAACGACTCATGTTAGTGAATTGGCCTGAATGTCATTATAAACTCATATAAATTTGATGTGGGTCCCATGTCTAATAACTTAGATATGGGTGTGCCCAAAATCCACCAGCCGCCTCTGAAGCTACTGTATAACCTTCAAAGATGAAAATAACAAAACCAAACTACCAGGCATTTGAACATTAAGGTAGGGGCGAATTATCCTGTAAATTTCATAATTCTATTTGGAAGTCAACATCCTCATATAATGGCCTAAATAATGCGATTTTCTAGAATTTCAAAATTTCAAGCAATTTTTATTTTGGAATTATTTAGAAATATTAATTGAGTGAATTTATATTTTTTATAAAAACTGATATTTTTTAGCTTTAAAATGACATGTTAAAATTTAAAATATCTTTAATAGAAAAAAAATTACAGCTTAAATTATTAAAGCATAAAAATGACGTTTTTAAAAAGTTTTAATTCGAATAGGTCGGATTTGACACATGCGAAAAATTAAATAAGGGTGGATTTTGTCCTTTGGGACCCTAATGAATATTTCTATAAAATTTGAGCAAAATCCAAGATGGTCGAGCAACGAGTTCCGGCGTTTTCATATGGATTGACTCTAAAGTTAAAAAGTAAGAAAGATTTTTATAAAAAAAAATTTTCTATCAAAAATATTCTATGCATTAATGCAATAGAATACATATGTATTATGTATTAGTATATGTATTAACTATACAGGGTGTTTCTTTTAACTTGAGACAGCTCAATATCTCGAGAAATACGCATTTCACGGAAAAATGTCTTAAATAAAAGGTTAATGTGACTAAAGGGGACATTATTTGGTGCTACCGCTAGCCACCCCCTACCCCTCCTTAAGGGTGAAACGGGGGGTAACTTTGGAAAGTCCAATGGGATGACCCGATTTTTTTCACAGAGTTTGGTAGTACATAAAAAAATAAATAACTTTTATTTAAAACTTTTTTCAATTTATCAACAGATGGCGCTGTAATTCAAAATTTAAGAAAAATGAGTTTCCTTGTAAAATGTATTATTTGAAACGTTTGAAAAACAAAAATTAACATTAACAACAATAGTCGGCTATGAAAACAATTTATAACAAATGTTCGAAATGTCGTCATTCCATTTCAACACATTTTTGAATGCGGGTAATGAATTCTGGCACACAACGCGCCAACATATCGGGCGGTATCGCCGCACAGGCGTTCCTGATCCGCTCCACCATGTCCTCCCAAGTTGTAGGAATTGCAGCGTAAACTTTTTCTTTCAAGTAACCCCACTGGAAGAAGTCTGGTGGCGTAAGATCAGGTGATCGAGCAGGCCAAATTACTGGACCACGTCTACCGATCCACCGCGGTGCACCGGCCATTGAACTCCCGATCCAACACCTCTCGAGCAATTGTCGAATAATGTGCAGGACAACCATCTTGCTGGTACCACATGTTTTGGAGCCGTGCTAGTGGTACATCCTCCAAAAGGTCCGTCAGATCGTTTTCTAGAAAATTCGGGTACTTTTCGCCATTTAATGCACCGTCAATAAAGAAGGGTCCGATCGCTTAAGGTACCGCACCAAACGTTTACCGACCAGGGACGCTGGTGCTCCACTTGGTGTCGAAATGGAAGGACGACATTTGGAACATTTGTTATAAATTGTTTTCAGAGCCGACTATTGTTGATCTAATGTTAATTTTTGTTTTTCAAACGTTTCAAATAATACATTTTACAAGGAAAACCCTTTTTCTTAAATTTTGAATTACAGCACCATCTGTTGATAAATTGAAAAAAACTTTCAAATAAAAGTTATTTATTTTTTTATGTACTACCAAACTCTGTGAAAAAAATCGGGTCATTCCATTTGACTTTCCAAAGTTACCCCCCGTTTCACCCTTAAGGAGGGGTAGGGGGTGGCTAGCGGTAGCACCAAATAATGTCCCCTTTGGTCACATTAACCTTTTATTTAAGACATTTTTCCGTGAAATGCGTATTTCTCGAGATATTGAGCTGTCTCAAGTTAAAAGAAACACCCTGTATAGTTTAAAAGATATAGAGCATTTAATAATTAAAAACTAATTACCTTTCTACTTTATCAATAGTTGACCGTAGAATTTATTAAATACTCTATATATTCTAAACTATACATTTTATTGCATTAATGCATAAAACCATTTTTGTAGGAAATTAAATTTTCTATAAAAGTTTTTTTTATTTTTTACCTCTAACTCAGGCGTTTTTTCGTAGAATTCAAAAACTGTTTTTTATTAAAAATATGACTTTTGTGTCGTATACTCTAAAGATGTATCGGGTTTTCGCAACGCGCGCGCCATCTGGTGGACTTCGAATGCATTGCGCAAATTTAAGAATTGTCAACAATAAATTTAAAGCACCGATTATACATCATTTTTAAATAAATATATAGGTATTTTTTTTTACAAAAGAGAGGAAAGCAGAAGTCTTACTCGACAAATTTTGTTCAATTGCACAGCTAAATCGCGCACGTTATTTGTGTTTTACCATTGACTAAGGAACTCTCAACGGTTTTACGTTGCAAGCAAAAAACTAAAAAACTGGTTTAGTACTCGATTTCGATTGATTATTCTTTATATCACTGGATAGAAAAAATACAGGGAGTCCCTGTTTGACGTAAAATAAATAACCTATAACATAAAGTAACAAATTTTGACATTTAAATTTGGCATTTTCTAACATTGTTGTTTGTTGTCATGATGATTAAGAATTAAACTATTACTTTGTTATGAGGCAATGTTGCCATATAAAGAAAATATGACTCCCCTGTATCTTATTAAATAATGAAGAAAGAATTTTTTAAACGATTTTCTGAAATTCCTGGGGGTCTTTAGATAATATATAATGTATACACCTTCATTTTGTCGCACTAATTGTGGGACACCCTGTATATAATACATAATATAATGGCATTTTACAGTTGAGTGGAGACTTTATTAAACAACGCTTTTAATAATGCTAAATGTTGTTTAAATTTAGACGACTTATTTGTTTGACGATTTTTACTGAATTGAAATGTTTACACTTTTCACGTTAATCTCTACTGTGTATTTATTGTATCTAATAGGTACAATTTATATTTACAGATTTTTTCGATATTTTTTAACATTTTCCGGCTTTATTCTCAAAAACACTAGTTTGCAACATAAGCGTTTGACAGCTGATTATTAAAAGTTACTTTTGTTACGATGATAACAGCCGAGTGGTGGCGATAGTAGCGATACTTCTTTAGCGTATTACCCTAGTGTATATAAATAAAAACATAAATAATAACTAATATTTAATAAAAAAATATATAATACAATTGCTAAGTTAAGGTAATTTTTTCCTTCTCTTGTTGTCACTTGATTTTTTCCATCCTTGGATTAAAATACCAAGCGCAGTGTAAAAGCACCCAAGTCCATACACAAGCATTGAAAAAACGAAACGCATAGTCCAGTTTAGCCTGGTGAAGATTGGATATAAAAATATGTTTTCTGTAAAATAGATGTAGTAAAACCTAAAACAAAAACAATTTTAATTTAGCATTTTCTTGGAAGGTTTTCTATAAATGGCACACACACGATTTTGACGACTTTTGAATCTTAAAAAGTGAAGGATTATGAGCAATTTTTTTTAACATATACGTAAAGTGAAATCCTGCAACAAATATTTTTAAAATTCAAGACCCTACCCATTTGCTTTTATTTTATGGATTATCTTAATATAGGTATATCAAAATTTTGTTATTTATTAAATTTTAATTTAAATACATATTTAGTGGTACCAGATGTTAAATTTAACTATCATTAACATTTTTTGCAATCATTAAAATAATAATTAATATTAAGTGATAAACATAAGTATATTAAAATATATATATTAATACTGCATTTTATATATTTTTGAAGTATATTGAATTAATTATATACAGGGTGGGCCAATGGAAAGTTTCCACCGCGGTTTTCTCAGGTGTTACGTAAAAAACGCACATTTCGATTTTGATTTAAATCCAACACGATTTCATGGGCCTTATTAGCAATAAATTCCGGATTTTGAAACATTTTAAAATTTATGTGACTTTCTAACAAATTTCGAATGACATTACAAAATTATCAAATCAACAAACTTGTTGCTACAATATCAATTATTTTTAAGCCAACTATTTCGAACACTAGATTTAAAAATTACAATTAAAAACACAATAAGTCATCATGATCACTTAGATAAAATACACACACTAACGTAACTACTACACTCACAGGCAAAATAATCGATCTACACAAATTTTCGATGAATTTCAATCGCAAATAACTTTTTTATTTGATTTCGGATTTAAACAAATATTAAAGAATATTGTAGATACATTAATGTAGAATCGCTCACATTTTAAAAATTACTAAAAAATACACGTACGTTTATAATATACAGGTTTAAACAAAAAGATGTTTTTTACCATAAGTTTAAGACACTCTGTAGAGTGGCAAAACCGTATATTGTTCTAAATTAAGTTTTAATTATCAAGTCACATCTATTTTTAACAGTTTTGTTTTTGGTTCACCTTGATATATTTATTTTTGTGGAAAATATGGATTTTTTTTTAAACATTGCAATTTCCAATATTTTTCCTGTATGAAGAACTAAGGTTCCTATGGTCCATCCATAGCCTACGGAGGATGACAGTGACAGTTTTGTTGAATCATCTCATACTTGGACATGTCATATACAGCTTTCAAAAGGTATCAAATTTTTTGTAAATTAATGTGTTAATTTTGAGGTGTCTTCTTATTTTTAAAAATGTCTCCGACTGATGTTAGCCTTTGTACTTTACTTCTTTTGACGTTTAAAACACTTAATACGTAATAATGTGACCGTCCATTCTGGATTAAATTAATGGCTCTGGCAACATCAGTCGAGGACATATCCATTTTTTAAAGTAATTCTGGATTAAATTAATGGCTCTGGCAACATCAGTCGAGGACATATCCATTTTTTAAAGTAATTACTTAAAAAGACACCTCAAAATTTAAACATTAATTTGCAAAACACAATTTGACAGCTTTTAAAAGCCGTTCATACAGAAAAATATTGGAAATTGCAATGTTTTTTTTTTAAATCCATATTTTCAACAAAAATAAATATATTGAGGTGAACCAAAAACAAAACTGTTAAGAATAGATGTGACTTGATAAATAAAACTTAATTTAGAACAATATACGGTTTTGCCACTCTACAGAGTATCTTAAACTTTGGTAAAATTAAAATGAAAGTGTGCGAGCGTTTTTTGTTTTTTTACGTTACATTTGAAAAAAACCGGGAAAAAAACTTTCCATTGATCCACCCTCTATAATAGGCAGTGGATGCCACGAACACTCCTACATAATTAAATAAAATTCTTACCCAATTTCGTATACTATCAAGTATGTTGTTAACAACTTAAAAGCATGACTAAATTTAACAAAATTATACTGTTTTGGCAGCAAAAATTCGATTAAAACAGGCAACACGATTAGAGTGTGCAGGGTATGATTTAACCAAGATGGCAGCACCTTCTCAACGGAATCTGGATATATCAATTTTCTTTCGTAATTATACAAAAACCAAAATATAGAAGAGACCAACAATGTAGCAGGAACAACCAGACCATTAAACATGCCACTTCTGGTACGACCCAGGAATTTTTGCATGGTCACTGGAAGGTTTAACAACATTGCAAGTGCGTCCAAAATCGCAACGCTCATAAAAACTATTTGCAGACCCTAAAATATCAACAAAAGATTAATTATTTGTATCGACAAAAGTCATTTTTTATTTTTTTTAAATAAAATTTGATTTTATATTAATAATACTTATTTATGTCATTATTCCAAGAAGTGAGTCTTTTTATGCTAAGCTCAAAGTTTGAGCCAAGCACAAAAAGATCTTGGCCAAATGACATACAACTATAAATTAAGGTACAATTTTATTTTTTTTAAGACAAATGGAACGTACAATTATTAAAAGTAGAAAGTGAGGTTAGATAGATCCCACAGATCAAATTTTGTGATTGGTCCAAACGCGGTAAATATTGAACTACTAGCCTCATAAGGTAGTTTCGAGGAAAAGTCATTTTTCATAATTTCTTTTGCTTGTTATATAAATTCGATTTGCGTTGAGAAATATCCATTTTGTTGTACAGGGTAAGCAAAAATACAGATTTTAAAAATTTTAAATATATTTTTTTAAAGCGCTAATATACAGAGCTTGTAAGGAGAAATCAAAAAGTCAAATGAAGTTTTTTTTATTTCAGTTATTGATACTAAAATATTTGATATTGAAAATTTAAGATATTAGTTTTCAAATTTTAACAAATAATTGTAGACGTTGAAAGCAACAACCTTGATTTATAATCTCAAAATGAGATAGCAGTCAATTTCTACAAAATAATAGGACCACTCAAGTTAGGACCTGAATTGATTTTATTTTTAATAACAAATATCTTAGTAAGAACAACTTACATGAAAAAACTTTATTTGGCTTTTTGGTTTCTCCTTACAAGCTCTTCATATTAGACCTTCAAATAAATATTTAACAATTTTTAATTTTGCAAAATCTACAATTGTATTTTTTTTCGCGCACCCTGTATAGCAAAATAGAAGTTTCTCATCGTGAATGGTATTTATATAACAAGCAAAAAAATGATGAGGAGTGACTTTTCTTCGAAAAATTTAAAATAAATATTTTTACAAGTCGTCACCTGCATTTTTTTTTTTAAATTGAGGTTAGTCTTGTTTTAAGATGCATATTGTTCTATCTACATATATATAACTGCCCTGATAGCACACTTTATTCTAAGAATGTTTTTTAAAACCTTCCAGTGAGAATATTCTTAGGATCATGCTATATTTCTTCTAAAGAACATGCTTAAAAGACATATAGCATGATCCTAAGAATATTCTTACTGGCCTATAGGCAGGTTCTTAGAAGGTGCAAAATTTTAGTGGTAAAAATTAGTCTACTCATATTCCTGTTAAGCATATTTAGTTCAGTTACCTATATAATAGTAAAATATACCATAAACTACGTATAAAGGTATATATATACCTATACTTAAGTACCTAATTAGTAATTAGTATTAAATACTAAAAGTAAAAAACACAATCCAAAATAATTTTTTATAGTTATTTGTCAAATTAAAACAATATTCGATAACAAAAATACTTTTACTATAGGTATTTTATTTTATGTTAAAAATAAATATTTATTAATTTGTATACCGATTTTTTATTTCTGAATTAACATTTTTATGTATAATAATCCTAACTATCTTCAACTTCAATCTAATCTGACTTATCCCACAAAATTTTCCAATTTTACTTTTTATGAAATAATGTCAAACAATTTATGGTTTAGAGGTCAAATTGTTTATTTAATATTTTTAAATAAATATATATTAATTTGTCGCAAAATTTTTTAAGGGGACGACAAATACATTTCACTGTCATATTATGACAGTGAGGCGTATTTGTTGTCTCCTGAAGAATTTTACGAATGTAGAATACAACATATTAGAACGTGGGTATCTGACATACCTACTTTGAAATATTCTCAAAAGCTTCCTAGAAGCTCCATAAGAAACCTTCTAAGAACATTCCAAAAACGTATTCTTAAAATGTTCTTAGGATGCTTTTTAGGAAGGTTTTAAGAAGCTTTTAAGAATCTAATTGCATCATTAAAAGGGTATCTATTGAATGTTTTAATAGTCCCTAAGAACACTTAGCAATAAGGGAAGGTTCTAAGAATATTCCATTATTCCGGGTAATATCTTCTTAAAAGATTCTTAAAATCAAATTTTGCTATCAGGGTGGGGTAGAAATTGTACAGTTTAAGCCGTAAACTGTGCAATTTCTACCCCAATTATATATAGATAGAACAATATGCATCTTTAAGACTTAAAACAAGACTAACCTCAATTTAAAAAAAAATGCAGATATAACACTATATATTATATAATATATAATATATAATTCTCAGGTGACGAAGTATAGTTAAGTCCATCCGTGGACACACTGTATATTTCAATCTTTTCATTTTATTTTTAAAGATAAAAATGTAATCGAAAGTTCATAACTTTCAGTAGTAAAATCGTTAGTTTTATTTAAAACCACTTTATACTATACTATAAAATTTTGGCAGGCAGTGTATCACCCTGTATATATTTGTTTTATTATGTAATCCATTTTAGCAGTGGTATGTTTATATATTAAGGAGATTCTTCTAAATGAATAATGCACTTCCCTGCTTGTATAATTTTTTTTTATTTATTTTCAAAACCGACTAGTTTCGACTATTATAGTCATCCTCAGGGTTTACGTCATTTAAATAAAATATACAGATTAAAATTAAACATTTGTGTGTATATAGTTAACAAATATCAAAATCATTTCAGACTAAACAAATAAATTATAAATAAATAAAAATACGATTAGAAATATTAGGGTTATGTTGGGATATTTGTTGTTAGTCTGAAATGATTTTGATATTTGTTAACTATATACACACAAATGTTTAATTTTAATCTGTATATTTTATTTAAATGACGTAAACCCTGAGGATGACTATAATAGTCGAAACTAGTCGGTTTTGAAAATAAATAAAAAAAAATTAAACAAGCAGGGAAGTGCATTACCCTGTATATAATTTTACAATTTTTAAAAGTATTTTATTGTTTAATTAACAATTTTCATTTAGTTATATTATAAAAAACCATATTAAAAAACTACATAATTAAACAAAAAAAAACCTGTTTTGGTCAAAGTTTATAAAATAATTGTTTTTTATATTGCTGCACTTTAATAGTGAGTGTTGGCAATAATGAAGTTTAAATTATAGAACGCTTGAAAATATTTTTATACTATTTTTCTTTTAACATTTTTTCCTTTATAAGACATTATAAAAAAAATTAAAAGTTTTAAATTATTGAACTTAATTAATGAGTTTTACAGAATTCGTGTAATTTATTTAAAATATTTATTCGCAAAATTAATAGGTCTTGTTAAAGTATAAAAAAATGTTTATATTTTTTTTGCGAGCAGTATTTGAACGCATATTTTTAATTGTATGTACCTAATAATAAAAAAATTAAATTATATTTTAATAAACTTACAAAATTCCATGACGTAAAAAAGAACGGACCGAATTTGGCTAATGCGCGCACCTCTTCAGTAACTTGAAAAGCTGGGTCGGTCTTCCCCAATAGTCTTAAACCCCTCCTAAACATTATTGAGTAAATATAGAAAGCAACTAAGGGTATATAAATGACCATAGCCACCACATGCTTAGGAACGTAATTTTTTAACATGTTTTCTAAAACAATCGAGCACACCTAAAACTAAAATGATTATAAGTATATTTTGTCTGTGTATGGATAAATTAAAACTACAGTTATGTGACCGACCGCCGAATCACTACCTACCATAGACTCTATGCTATAGCAGGTACTAGCAGGTACCTACTAAAAATTAAATAGTTGATTTTGTTGAAATGTGGAAGCACTTGTTTTGAAGGTCGATTAAAAATATTATTGAAATGTAACGATGAACCAATAATAATAATTCAGTAATCAATATATTAAAAATACTTTCATATACCCATAGTAGGTAAATTTTGATAACGGTAATTGGTTAGCGATAATTTTTATTTAGGTACTTTTTATTTTAACTAAAAAATATATTCTTATATAATTTTAAAATAATAATTATTATATATTAATATTAATATATTCTTATATAATTTTATAATAATAATTATTGTCTTAACCGCTACCTCACAGCAAACGGAAAATTATAGAAGTGTATAGGATGACGCCACGTTTGAATATTGTTTTCTAAATCTCCCCACGGTATAGATTTGTATTCGTCAGTCGAGCGTTTCAATACTCTCCACAGTATAGAGGTCGTAATTTCACTTTTGAACTAGTATTAATATAAAAATTATTTTATGCTTAAAAAAAACTATATACGACATGATTGTGATTTTTTTCATTTTATTAATTAATTAAGCTGTGTTGAATATTTTTCCTAAAGGAATAATTGCCAATGGGCCATTAATTCATTTGTTCGTAGATGCTACAATAACCTGCACTGGTGTGTACTTTTTCATCAACCAGATTTAAATATTGCTGAACTAATATATACCAGTGGAGATAGTGCAGGGTCTACCAACAGACCTCATTACTAAATTATTAAAGTTAAAGCATATCGATCATTTTTTCAACATAACCTCTGAAATTTTTAATACAAATATAGGTACTTTATATAATACATAAATATACTTGACATCATATCCTCTGTGCTTTACATACCTGAGTTGTTACGGTAAATAAAAATCAGACAAAGGAACCAAAGAAAGAAACTATTTTCAACAAAATCATATGCAGAAATGAGAAAATTCAAACTACTTGCATCCATCAAAAGATCAAAACTTCTTGCAATATTACACCCTCTTTTTATACTCTCAGAAATATTGACTAGAACAGTATTAGTGAGACCAGTTTCTATAACTTGGTAGAGTAAAGAGAAGTCGAAACCGTGCGATATTGCATTGCGCTTTTTTTGTATAATTCTCGGGGACATTAACGAAAATCATTGCCAGTAAAATTCGAAAACCTTGAGTTTCTATGTCTCTGAAGAGAATAGGAATCCGAAGTTGCTGCACCATTGGACAGAACCCTTTTTTAATAATGTCTAGAGACATAAATGACTGCACCATTCGACAGGGTCGAGTTTCTACCTCTCTGTTGAATATAGAAAATCAAAACAATGTATCTTGTAAGACACCATTGAGTTTGACTTTAAATATAGTCGTGCATAGGTATAGAGCCGAAAAATATAAAAACAAAGCACGATTCAATACAGTTGTGATAAAACTTTAAGATTTGATATTACGCGGAGTCATCCTATACACTTCTATAATTTTCCGTTTGCTGTGCTGTTAAATTATCTTCATTAGAAGGTTAACCTATAATTTATATATTTTAAATATAGCGCTGTTGCCACGTAGGATTATTTTTTAATTAGTTAGTTAATAATCAGGTATAGAGAACCTTACACAGGGTGTCCCAAAAATAGCGCCTACTCACAATCCACACAATCATCAATGGATATTGGAGTTGTGACAATAATTATTGTATTTTAGAATGGTAATAATTATTTTTTTTTACTCCTATTACATAATATTGTTTTTTTAATATACTTTGTATATTAAACAGTGTGTCCACGGATTGGGTAGACAATAGAAAAAAAATGTTATCTACGAAAAAAAACATTTTTCATAAAAACTCCTGCTTGTTTAAAAAATAAGATTCACATACAAATATTTTTAATTAAATGTACAGGGTGTTCAGAAACTAAGAAAATCTAAAAATCTAGAAGTGAGAAATATGGAAAAATTAATTCTTAATGAAAATATCTGATGGTATAAAATTTAGACTTACATAAAAAAATTATTTGTATGTACAGGGTGCTCAGAAATTAAAAGAAAATAATAAAAATATATATATATATATATAAAGGAATATTTCCAGGATTATTCCAAGCTTACCAGAATATTCCCAGGAATATTCCTGGCGTAATCAAATGTCCGCTTTTTGGTTAACCCAGTCATCATAATATATATATATATATATATATATATATATATATATATATATATATATATATATATTAGACTGGTTCAAAAAAATTGAATATTTTTTTTTCTTCGAAGCCCGCATTAAAATATCTTCCTAGTAGTAAAAAAAGAAGCCTGTAAAAATTGTAGCTCTTAATATTAATATTTAGAGGTCGCTCATCGTGAATTTCTATTTTACGTTTAAATAACACAGGAATTCTTTTTTCTTAACTTTGAAATTTTATAACTCGTTTTTGAGTGAACATATTGGAATGAACTCTATATATTTTTGAAGAAAATTGAACGTTCTACAGAAATGTCTCTTATAATTTTTTCGTAAATTCACTCCTTTAATAGTTATTCAAGGTTGAAATTAGACAAATAATAAATGTAACGTTTAAATAATACAGGATTTTTTTTTAACTTTTAATTTTATAACTTTTTTTTTAGTGGACATATTGGAACAAGCGATAATTTTTTTTAAAGAAACATAATTTATATAAAATTTTGAAAAAAGATTATACAGGGCGGTCCCGTGTGTGATACATTAATTTTAAGGTAGACTTTCATTAATTAACATTTCTCAAAAATGTTTCCTAAGAAAAATACAGGCCGACAAAGATTACAAAAAAACTAGTTTTCTCTTTATAACTTTTAAACCACAACATTAATTTTCATCAGATTTGGCACAAAATGTAATATATATTCAGTGCCTTAATAATAATGTGGGGGGACTTCCCCCCTTTTCACCTCAGTCTTTGACGCCACTAAAAATTTTAAAATATTAAATAAATTTGTAGGTCAAGTTTTTAATTTAGAGAAATAATTTACTCCTGTAAAATTTTAATTTGGGTCTTTGTTTCTGAAATATTTGCTCAAAAATGTTTCCTCGCAGAGACGCTTTCCGTCAAAGTTTACAAAAACAACTCGTTTCCCCATCATAACTTCTAAACCACTTAATCAATTTTTATCAAATTTTGTACACAATATAGTCAATTTCTTAGTAATGATGTGGATAATTATTTAAAAAAAACATCAGTTGCGTAGTTACTTGGGGGGCTGCTCCTCTTTTCACCTTAGGCGCCACTGGAATTTTTTTTAATAATAAACACATTTTTAGATTATCTGTTTAATTTAGAGAAAAAAACTACTCATGTAAAATTTTGATTTAGTGCTTCATTTTTTAAATAATTTTTTTATTTATCCAAGAATTCTTTTGCCGCAGTTTTTTTGGAGTGTGTTCCCAAATATTTCAAAAACGAAGCCCTAAATAAAAATTTTAGCACAGTAGTTTTTTTATCTCTAAATTGAACAGACAATCTAAAAATGTAATTTTGTGAGGAAACATTTTTGAGCAAATATTTTAGAAACCAGGCCCCAAATCAAAATTTTACAAGAGCAAATTTTTTCCCTTAATTAAAAACTTGACCTAAACATTTATTTATTATTTTAAAATTTCCAGTGGCGTCAAAGACTGAGGTGAAAAGGGGAGCAGCCCCCCAAGTAACTGCGGCACTGATGTTTTTTTTTAAATAATTATCTACATCATTATTAAGGCACTGACTATATTACATTGTGTGCCAAATTAATGTTGTGGTTTAAAAGTTATGAAGAGAAAACAATTTTTTTTAAGAAATGTTTTTTTATGAAAGTCTACCTTATTTTTGATGCTTTATCACCTAATAAAATTAATGTATTACAAACTGGACCATCCTGTACAATAATGTTTATTATTATGCCACCAATTGAAAAAAAAACGTTAAATTTATTATATGTCTAATTTCAACCTTGAATAACTATAAAAGAAGTGAATTTATGAAAAAATTATAGGAGACATTTTTTGTAGAGTTCAATTTTCTTTAAAACTATGTGTCGCTTATTCCAATATGTTCACTAAAAAACGAGTCATAAAATTTCAAAGTTAAGAAAAAAGAATTCCTGTGTTATTTAAACGTAAAATAGAAATTCACGATGAGCGACCTCTAAATATTAATATTAAGAGCTACAATTTTCACAGGCTTCTTTTTTCACTACTAGGAAGATATTTCAATGCGGGCTTTGAAGAAAAAAAAATATTCGATTTTTTTGAACCAGTCTAATATATATATATATATCATAATATATACTATAGTAGTAGTATTCTTAGGAGAATGTACCTTAATATAATTTGGGAATTACTCCTAGCCCTTATGGCCACTTATACCCAGGAACTTAACTTAACTAGTCATTATTAGTTACTGAGTAGATCAGTCCCACTCTAATCATTGTTTAGCTGTGCCATCACAGACGCACATCTCCAACTGATAATATTAACATATCGGTATTTATAGTTATCAAGCGTGCGTAAGCAATGGTTAGAGGTATTACAACTAAACTAATGAATATTCACTGGGAATGTTCTTAGATGGTGTTTGAAAGTTTTAGAGGATCATTCTATGAAATATTCCCAATGAATATTCCTAGAATGAAGTGGAATTCCTAGATGATAGCGCATATTCCTAGAATGTAACCAATTTGTAGAAGGTAAAATTATTTATTGTTTTTTTGAATATAAAGAACATTCACTGGGAATGTTCCAAGATGTTGCTTGGAAGTTGTAGAGGATCATTCTATGAAACATTCCCAATGAATATTCACTGGGAATGTTCTTAGATGGTGCTTGGAAGTTTTATAGGAACATTCTATGGAATATTCCTAGAATGAAGCGGATTATTATTATTTTCGAACCTTCATTACAGTCTGGGTAATAAGAATTTTCACATTTACTTAAATGTTGTGTAGCCTTTAATTATTCTTAAAGCTTGTTTCAGACA